GCAGATACATATCATTTTCGCTGATAATGTTTGTAACGTATACTCTAAAGTGAATAAAACATTGCTATTAACCATTGTCATTGACCAATCTCTTTTACATTGCGATGATACAAGTTGCATACCTGTACCAATCATTTCCGAATTTTTCAGCGTAGAGCTTACCTTCACCAACGGATTCCACAGGTAGGTTGTTGTGTATAATACATATTATAGCTGTATATGAACGTGGCGATCGTAGCGCAGAGGATTGTGCGCTGGTCTGGTAATCCAAAGACCTGGGTTCAAAACCAAGTACATTCTTGGTTTTTCTTTCGATCGCCACATATAAGAGTTGGATGATTAAACGCTCACATGAGCGCTGAAATGGCGAAAATTCTCCAATGTCGATGTCCATTATAATTGCACTTCAATACAATTTTTGAAACAAAAAAAATGTATCTACATTTGTAGATACTTTTTTTTTTCTTAAATACTTGTCATCGTTAAATACTTCTTCGGTGATGACTGGACACCACACGATTGTGTCAAATTTAAGGAGTTAGTACTTCAAAAGAATTTCGTCTCTATAATCGTCGGACACCGATTCGACGATTCCGTAGCCGTTCTGTATTACCGACAGATTTACCATTTTCGTAGTTATAACCTTTCGTCGTATTAAATTCATGGAATCAAAAATGCTTGCGTACAATGACAGTATATGCATTGATAATCCCAGGAAACTTCAAAGCAATTGATTATACGCACATAGCGAGACTTGAAGAAGCTCCTGTTCTTACTAGTTTTCCGTATAAAGGCGTGTCTGCGATTACACGCATACATATATGTATTCCGATAGTCTTTAATGCTGATCGTTATTATCAATTACGTTTTTGTTATTATTTTTCTATTGATCTGCAACTGAAGTTACAGCGTATGAAATAAAGTCCATGTATAATAATTTTTTCTGCATGCATTTTTATTCTTTTGCAGTTACACATATGTACGTATAATTCAAATATACAATTAATAGTATTATGAAGTTGTGTGATAAAGATGGAATATCGTTGTGTTAATGGGAGGTCACAAGTAAGAAAGGAACAAGAATAAAAACTTTTTGTCGCCAGTAAATAATTAACCATTGTAGGAAATTAATAATCGACATAACTAGCAAACTCAGATTCAGTGGTTGAATTGGTGAGGCGCCTAGAGTGTAGGGAGGTCCAGGGTAAAGAACAAACCTGTTTCCATGTAGTGCGTCAAGTTTGATGAACGTCACTTGAAATACTGGCCTAAGGCTGTATAGTATATGGGATTTGTGTATGGGGTGAGTATCGTCGGTGATGATTACAAACTGTATCAAACGTCAAAGGCCAGTTAAAGGGAGCGTCGTGGATCCAGCAGTGTCGCACGATTCGCAGGATATGCAGATGAGGGTTGCATGATTCATTGTTGTCGCGAGAAAAATGGTTCGCACCGACTGGGACCGGATACTATCCGTAAACGCGTCGTCTTTAACAGACGAAGAGATCGAGGATCTTTTTCCTACGGTGGTCCGATGCGACGTGGACGAGATCGCCGACATACATGGTCTGCGGACGCTCGTAAGACTGTCGCAAGAAATGTTGACTTACAAGGATAATCAAGTAAAGGCATTATCTGTTATTATGTATTCACGTTAAACGTTTCACGTGCTAGCACTATATTATTATAAATATTACGCTTGCTTTTACGATTATGCTTACCTGACTGCGCAAAATTTGTTTCCGTCGAGAATAAGAGTGTGCATGCAGAAATAAACCTTTCCCATAAATGTGCTGCATATAAAACAACATTTTGTTAATGTTAGGTCGAAGCTCTGCTTCTCGAGTGTGGCGAGTTGAAAGAAACGATTGCTTCGTTGCGTCCAGAGACTGCCAAGCGAAAGCTCAAAGGTGATTTCATGTCAAGTTCGTGTATATATATAATTCAAGATTATTTCTCAAATGTAACTCTGGAAAGTTGTGAAATGTGATAATTTGTATCGATATTTTATGTTACTGTTACTAAATATTATATTTAAGTCATATAAAATGTATACGATTATCCTTGACAGATCGTGGCGCAGTGAAACAAGAAAACGATGGGTTTGCTAGGGTAAGTTTCTTCATTACCTGTCGTATATTATTATTTGGTTGTGTATTTGAGGTGGTAATTTAAATTTATGTAAAGGATACGGATTTGAGAGGACATTCAGACTCACAAGACAAAAGTAAAAAAGTTAAGACACTTATGGCCGAATTGGAGGTAAGTGTGCATAATAAAAGTGTGATTAGTGAAAATTTATAGTACAGTTTCTTATTGGTCTCAATTTTTTTAGAATTTGGACAAAGAGAACGAGATTCTTAAGGAACAGTTAACAACATTGAGAGACGAGATGGAGGATGCAACAGAGAAAATGAACGAAATGACAGAAGAACTTTGTTCGGCCCAAGTAAAAACTGTGGAATACAAAGGTACCTCTATATGAATAATATGTACTGTTTGTTTATTAACTGTGAGTAAATTTGATGTTTGGATAAATATGTGAACGCTATGCCATTGCAGAAAAGATACTGAAATTGGAGCAAGAAAATGCAGCTTTGGTTATACAAATTGAAGAAGTAACAGCGCAACAAATAGACAGAGATAAAATGTTGGATGAATTTGGTGTAGCTATTGATGCTAGAATAACTGAATGGAAGGTATTAAATTAACTTGGTAGAATTTGTAGAAGTTTAGAAAGTGTCTTTAGATAATTTGCATATGCAGAAGTTTGAATTTATGTTATAAGGGAGTGTTGGATGAGAAAGATATGGAGATAGCACGTTTGAAAGAAAGCTTGTCGCATTCTTTAATGCAATCGGTTACATCAGCCAAGGAAGAAAATAAAACGCACATCACTCATCTAAACGACGAAGTAGCTCGTAGAGACGCAATTATAGCCGAATTGCAAACTAAACTTTCTGAAGCAGTTGTTGAAATAAACGAAAGTGCTGCACTTATTGAAAAATTGAAAGGAGACGCACACGAGTAAGCGATATTTACATATATTTGTAATGTTTTTAATTATTTAATCTATCTTTTGGAAGATAATGATTTATTTGAATTGTTTTGTAGGTCTGTAAAAGGCGATAAACGAAAAGAACAAAAAAGTTTGTTGAAAAAGATACAAATTGCAAATGAAAAGATCTCTAAGTTGGAAAATGCATTGTCACAAGCGCAGGATGATGCCACATCACAGAGTAGTAAAGTGAGATATTTCTATTTATTTTTAATAAACTACATACAGAATTATTGCCATTTAAGCTATAAGTATCTTGCTTAATTTAGAGCTGAGTTTTCTATAAATAATTAGAAATATATGAAAATTTGTTTTAATGCTTTATAACTTTTATTTTTGGTATTAATTATTTCATAATTACTCAAGAATCAAGTTTAGTTATGCATTTACGTTTTTAAAACTTGATGAACAGTTTTTTATTTATTTCTTGCTATCACAAAACATCAGTATGTGAGTTTTACCATTTTTTTTAAAAGAAAATTTAAGTATTTAAAGATTACATTTTAACAAATATGTAACAAAAATGGCAATGATTCTAGAAAATAATCCTTACATACACTTATTTGTTAAATAATATGTAGAGTAACAAGTTCCTATTTTTTATACAGTTATGCGAAGCATTATCTACATTAAAAAAATATGAAGATGGAAATCAGGCTTTAGCTAAAGCATTGAACGAAATTAAAGAATTAAAAATTAAAATTGATCACAAAAATGAACATATTGAAGATTTAACCAATGTTATTAATAAATTGGAGATGTTAAATTCATATCAAGAAATGGAGATCTTAACTCTTAGGTAAAATTGTCAAAAGTATTAATTTACATCCCCTACGTCTGAAGGAAAAATATATAATATTATTTTTGTATAACAGAGAAAAATTAGGGATTCCAGAAGATGAATCCATATCGATTGAAAGTGTTGTAGCAAAACGTAAAGAAGAATCAAAGAAAATAGAAGAGCTTATTCGGCAGAATAAAAATCTTGTAGAGGAAAATTTAGAATTAAAATCAGATGTAAGATGATTTATGGAAAGATTAGTTTATAAAACTTACATATAAAATATACGTGTTTTTTCTGCTATAAAATTTTTACTTTTTATAGATGAGAGTATTAAAATATAAATTGAGCAAGTCTGAGAAGATAATAGATATTTCAGACAACTTAGATGATTATAGTAATCAGTTTTTACATTCGACTAAATTAATCGAGTCAGAAAATATACATCTATCTTCCAAAACTGATATTTCTGAAGTTAATCAAAGTATACAGATACTCATAGAAGAAAATGAGGCACTTAGGACGGGCATGCATGAAATTATGGACAGTATACGCAATCAAGATGGTGAATTTTCGCTAACTTTAACGGTACTTTAGTATTGCACACATTTCCGTTTCTGACACCCTAATATTTTCTTCTGCCTAGTTCTTTCTTACTTTTTGTTTCATGCAATACCTAAAATGTTAATAGACTTCTCTGCTAAATCTACTGCAGTTTTCACGTTTTCTAGTTTATTTCGTAGAACGTTGCTATTCTTATGCCCTTGATATCTGCTTTAAGAAAGGGAGCTAATACCTCTGTATTTCTTGTTTTAGGTAAGAGTGAAGTGGAAATACAATCCAGTACATTGGAACGGTTATTAGAAGCTTTGGACGTTAGGCATTTAGCTGGTTGGTATCATCCAGCTATGAGATTGCAAGAACATCTTAATGTAATACAGGGTAGTAATGCCGAATTGAGGTCACAACTCAAATTACTGAGGTATTTTTTGAATTTAATAATTTAATCAAAGTAGTTACTTATTATTTTTCATTATGAACAATAAAATGAGAGAGTTACATATTTTGGTATCTTTATTATAATTTATAAATCGTTACGGTGTGTGTTTTACAGAAAAGAATTGCGAAGGAAGGATAATATCTTACAAAATCTAGCAGCCAATAAAGATATAGATTTTGAGAAATTGTATGAGAAACATGGCGAAGATGATGCGATAACAATGTATCTTACAGAAATGAAAGCTCTGCAAGTGGCATATAAAAATGAAACAGAGGAATGGGAGAAACAGAAGGATTCACTGATTCAAGAAAATAATGAATTGAAAGATGAGATAGATGGTCTTAAAAAGCAACTAGAAATTTATAAGAAAAATTGGCAAATTATAGAAGATGGAGATGACGAAGCACAGAGAGCTTTCGTGGCAAAAACGAGAGAATATGCGGATGCTACTAACGAAATAATAGTTATGAACAGGAAAAATGATAGTCTTCAACAATTGCTTAACAAAGAAACTAATAGATTATATGAATATCAAAAAGAGATAATTAAAAAAGAAGGTTATTTTAATAAAACACTTACTGAGGCAAGCAAGTATAGTAAAACGTTGCTATCAGAAATTTCACTCTTGCAGAGTAATTTATGTAATTCTGTGAGTGTAATAATACATAACGAATTAAAAGAGAAATATGAGGAGCTGAGTATACGTCATCATGCTTTATTAGAAATTGTAATAGTATCTCCTAATTCCAATGAAATATCTTCTTTGAAGACTGAAATAGAGGCAATAAGACAAGAGAAAACTCAGCTTATTGAAGATTTCCGGAAAGTGGACGATTGCGGGAGCGATGATAGTTTGCAACAAAGACTGAAACAGATAGAAGCCAAGGAGTTGACTGAAAGACAACGAGCTGATCAGATGGCTAGGTTACTCGATATATCACAAACGCAGTTAACAAAGTATGAAGATAGTGTTAAACAACTTTCTAATTCTAATTCTGAATTGCAAGAAAGATTGATCGAGGTGCACAAGACATTGTCTGAAAAGATAGCTCTGCAGGAAACTGTACAAACAGATGATAACCGTATACAGGAATTGCAAAAGGAAAAAACGCAACTTTTTATAGAAAATGAAAGTTTAAAAAAAATGCTACAAATTTCTGAAGAGGAGGCTCGATTGCAATATTCGCTGAATTCACTGCAAACATTGGAATTGGATAGTCTTAGACACCAAATATTGGATTTGCAAGCTGTAAGTGAAGACAAGGCCACAATCTCGCGACTTGACTTTGAGCTTACAAGTAAAAAGATATCAGAGATGGAACTATCTGCAGAGAAAACGCGATTGCAGAATGAGTTGTCTTGCGTGCGACAAGAGCTTGATAATTCAAACAGGAAATACGAGGAAATGCGTGGTTACGTGCAAGATTATCGGAAACAATGCGATAGTCGTTGCAGGTAAAATCCGAAATTACATTTAGGCATTGTTTGGTGTATAAGAGAATGTATCGTAGTGTTGTGTTACAGATATTATATAGATATTATATATTTTTTACAATGCCAATATGTGGGCTCAACATCCATAAGTGCTTTAGAAAAAGTAATTACATTGGCTGCAAAATTAAAAAGAGACCGTCAAAATATCGATGAAGAAATGCAAAAGACGAAAAACTGCCACGAAGATGTCAAATACGAACAGCAATGTTTATCCGCTCGCCTTGAAATTGTTGAGCGTTTGAAAGATATGTTGGAACAACAAATTGGAGCGGGTAGTGTTCAAAACATAATGGAACATTATGCCGCAACTTCACAGCAAACTCTAAGTGTAAGTCTCCCGTGTCATAATAATAACGTGTAAAAGTTTTAATTTTATTAGGTAAAATTAGAATATTTTGTTGAAATACTTTGCACACGTTTAAAATACTTTTTCCAATTACTATTTCTAGTATTTTTATATCTTAATCATAAAATTTTTGCTAAATTTACATTTTACTTAATAATTATAAAATAATAGAATAAATTGTAATATTTATATTATCTGCAGATTGAACTTTTATGTTTTTTCTTAACATATATTTCTATATTCTTTTACTTACAGGATTTTAAATACAAAAGAAGAATAGCTCATTTGGAGCATGAACTCCAAATTGCTAATAGCAAATTTAACGAATACGAATCAGTGATAAACAGCATGGAACAGGATATGTTAAATATTCAGAAAGCTTGGTGTCCACAACAAGAACATCAAACTCGAATAACTACACCAAATTTTGAGACAAAATTTACTCAAGTAACGATGGAAACTCAAGTGGTTAGTGTTCAAACGGATCCTTACATTTGCTGTTTAAATGGAAAAGTAAAGGACACCAATAAGGAAACTGTTGTTTCGAAAGATATTCAAAAATCTATTAAATTAAATGGAACTACGGAGAAAACATACCGAGAAGTAGGAAATAATACAGAGGAAAGTGCCATCTCAGAGATCCCTAACGAGCAGATGGATCAAGCATTGAAACTTGCATCCGAACGCTCCGCGATGCTTGTCAAGTGCGAATCACAATTAGCCGAGTATAAAGCAAAAGTGGATGCTCTAAATAAAGCGATAACGGAAAAGGACTCACAGTATCGAGCAAACGTGGTTACTTTAAACAAAGCAATTGAGGAAAGAAATGTGCAGTATCAAACAAGAATTGACACTTTGAACAAAGCGATTGAGGAAAAAGATTCGCATCTTGCTCAAAAGCAAAGTGTACATGACGAATTAGTGAGCCAGCCACGAGTTGCGAATACTGATTGTGCTGACAAGTTGGCTCTGAAATCGACGATAAATAGTTTACAGAAATTAATTACTCAAAAGGAAGAAACTATCTTAAGATACCAAAATTTATTGAAAGAAGACAGGGACGAGCATAGTCGGGCAGCGAGTCGGTTTCAGGATGAAATTAAAAGTTTGCACGATCACATATTAGCTATGCAAGGTAAAATCCGAAAAACTGAAGATCCGGTTGTAATTATGAAAAATGCTTTTGAAAAAACACCGACGTTTGATGAAACTGCAACGAGAAGCAGTGCTGCGCAAGAAGAAGAAATTGCGAGGCTGCGTGAGAAGGTATCCACTTTTGAAGCAGAATTAAATATCAGCAGAGAACTGAGCGAACGTTGGCATCGATTAGCGGAAGAAAGACTGAAGCATATGGATCGTATGAGAGAAAGGTCTGTTCGATAGCGATGTAAAAATCATGATGTTTTTAAAACTAAAATGTAATTAATACGTGGGATATTGCAGAGTAAATGATTGATGAGATAATTAACTTATATCTATGTTTTATAATACTAGAAATAATTTGTGGTTTTGTGTGTAGGTCAGAGCAACAACATAAAAATGAATTGGAGAGTTATCGTGGTGAATTAAATAAGTGGCAGTCCGAGGCTGACGTACTTAGACAGCAACTGTCTGAGAATCGCATGTTACTTACAAAAGGAAACATTTCCTTGATGAAGGAGCTACAAGATAAAGATGATAAAGTACACGAGTTAACTCTCGCTTGCCAACAGTTGGAGGTGCATTATAATTTTGTCAATGTACCAGCTAAATTTGGTTAATTTTCTGGATATAATTATTTAATCTATTACACTTTTATTGCATAGAATGAAGTTGAATTAATAGAATCTGCAAATCGACCTCATCAAATGATAGTTCATAGTCGAGGCGATATGAAGGTGCACGAAATAACGCACAGTAGTCATCGTGATCAAATGCAACAGCAAAATCAAATGGATGTTTTACGTCGACAGCTTCAGTCTTTAATGGAGAAGGAGAAAATGTACAAGTGCGAAATAACTGATTTGAAGCAGCAACTAAGTCGCAGGTAAGTTTATGTATCAATTTTTAAGCAAACGTTTTAATTAAATTTTTTACTTAATTTTTACAATGAAGATCCGACATATTTGATTTACTGCAGATACATGGCAGTAAAAACTCAGGAAAAAAAGACATCGCAACGTGAAACGCAGCTTGAGCGCAAAGTGGCGTCCTTAGAAGAAGAGTTGCATAAAACAAAAACTCAATTAGATCGTGAATATTTGGCACAAGAAGCTAAAAGAGCTAAGGTAGGCGATAAAATACTGCTATTTTATATTATACACAGTGCTTAACACATTTCTCTTTTAATAGACTGCAGAAGAACTTTCATTGTGGGAGAAACAGAAAAAATGGCAGCAAACGGCAGAAAAATTAAAAGAAAAGCTTAAAGAAAAGACTGATGAGTATGAGAAATTGCTTACAAATTATGAAAAACTCCGATCTGTTGTTTCGTGTATGGAAAGAGAAAAATGGCATTTGAGAAGTAAACTTAAACTTGAGAGCGATACAATATCTGGTACTTCATCAGGAAGACCCATTTCAAATATCCAGTCTAACGTAGAGGAACAATTAGAAAAAGAATGTCGATTATTGAGAGAACGCGTCAAGGAATTAACTGACCGTTTAGAAAAAGAAAGCAATGAACATTTGATGTTGGAAATAGCGGAATTGAAACGGCACAATACAGCTTTGGAGGCAGTCTCTCAGGTTAGCGTTTACAATAAATGAATATATTCACAATAAATGATTTTTAACATGCTTTATTTGATGCTGTCTTACAGGGTAATACATGTGTAATCAATCAGCTTGAGAAATTAGAAATGACTAAAGACGTTCTCGAGAAAATGAATCTTAAGTTAGAAAGTGAAAACTTTGAGCTACGACTTGAATTGGAAAAGTCAAACTCGGATGCCCCAGGATTGCGAGAAAAAATCGAACATTTGGAGAAGTACGTTTAAGTTATATTTTCTTACGTCATGAAAGTAGATTCGATAGACAATTAATATCGCTGCATCGTTATTATTATAGGTACATAAAATTATTAAAAGTGGAAAAGTCTTCTGATTCCACTCCTAGATCGTCGGAAAAAGAACTGCCAGAATCAAGCAATAAAAAATCTACCTTCGAAATGGAGAAAACAATATTCACATTGAAACGAATTATTGAAAAGCTTCAGGCAGAAAATAAAAGATTGAAATTTAATTCCAAGAAAAATCATTTTCTAGTCAGTCAAGTAAATTACACGATCTCTTTGTTATTCTATAATATGTTTCTTTTCTTATTTTTTTTAATCAAATATTATATTATGAAATATAGGGAAAGACAAACATTATCGAAGGAGACACTTTATTCCAAAGACAATATGAAGAATCTCAGACACGCGTGGTAAGTTTGGAGGCAGATTTACAACTAGCTGAGCAAAGGATAGCTATGTTAGAAAAAGCTCAGAAGGAGGATGATAATGGAGATCTCCGAATCTTGAAACAACAGTTAAGTCACAAATCGGAGCTTCTAGATAAAGTGAAGCAGTTGTTGACACGGGCCGCCATAAATGAGAAGACACTGCGACAACGCGTAAGAATTTTCAGCAGTTCATTATTTGAAGGATATAAAATCGAGAAATTATCATTTCTAATCTTATTACCTTTATTAGGTGCAACAGCTGGAATCTAAACAAACTCTGTCAACAATTCCAGAGTGTTATGTGACTCCACCTACGCCACAGTAATGAGTGTTTTGGAAATAAGCTTCATGGATTTGCAATGAAGGAAATACATTTTTATTGAGTTACACACACATACACAAGTATACATATTTGTTTTTCTTTCAATTACACATGCTTGCAAAGCCTTTGGCAGTTATATATTTTCTATTGTGTAATAATTTGATAATAATTCTATGTTGCACACGTGTTATATCAATTTTTGTACGTGCAGGTGCACGATGTTCAACACCAATTGACACAATGGGTCTGTTTTTTATTGCTGCACTCCTGAACTAGTGCACACTGGTGCAATGAGTTGGAATGAGAGGTAATCTATTTGTTTCATTTTAACTTATTACACTAGTTCAGTAGTGCAGTAATAAAGAACAGGCCTAATATGATATCCCAAAAATAGCATTACTTTTATACTTATAAATTCTTGAAATAATAATCATGTTTTTCAATACTCTCATTTATTACTTATTTTGTACTGTGCGTATGACAAAGAAATAAGTTATTTCAAAATTATTACTGTAATCAAATGTGAATTCAGTTTTGTCGACCACAAAATGACTCGAGTGGCTAGCGTAGATTTTTCATTTTATCTTCATTTTCTACGTTATGTCATTGTCACAGATCATTCAAAATATAAGTAATTTTTGAATATTGAGTTAAAAAATTAAAAAGAAAAACTCGTGTTTATATAAATAACAATATGAGAACTGGATTTAATATAAATAACAATGCATAAGCATTCTCTATTGTTCCTCTCTGTCGCGCATATTTCAACATAATATCCTTTCTAATACTAGGAATATAAATAGATTAGTGTAATTAATTCGTTACATCGATTATTTCTAACATACTAAAGTATGTCGACATCATTAAATAACTTGTGCGAACTACGCGCCGTACCAATATAAATAAAAGCACAAAATGATCTATTTCTCTTTATCGTGCGTTTTGGTATATTAATATTACTATCAATATCAAAGGTGTACATATAAACAAATTAATGTAAAATTAATTAATTATTTCTAAAGCCTTGTGTCGACGATG